AAGGCCCCTCTATAAAGAGTGGAACCCCTTAGCCCTAAACCCTAAACCCGATTCAAAATGTTAAGGCCCCTCTAGAAAGAGTGGAACCCCTTAGCCCTAAACCCTAAACCCTAAACCCGATTCAAAATGTTAAGGACCCTCTATAAAGAGTGGAAACCCTTAGCCCTAAACCCTAAGCCCGATGCAAGATGTTAAGGCCCCTCTATAAAGAGACCGCAAAAATCCCAGGGTTCAGGGAAACCCGTTTCAAATTTCCCCAAACCCTAAACCCTAAACCCTAAACCCTAAACCCTAAACCCTAAACCCTAAACCCTAAACCCTAAACCCTAAACCCTAAACCCTAAACCCTAAACCCTGCCCCTCTATAAAGAGTGGCCAGGTCCAGACTCGAACAAAGATGGAGTTCGACTGCATCTTTGCGCGGCTTAGGGGTTAAGAAGGTGTATAGGGTTTAGGCTTTAGGTTTAGGGGTTAAGAAGGTGTGTAGGGTTTAGGATTTAGGTTTAGGGGTTAAGAAGGTGTATAGGGTTTAGGCTTTAGGTTTAGGGGTTAAGAAGGTGTTTAGGGTTTAGGCTCTAGGTTTAGGGGTGAAGAAGGTGTATAGGGCTTGTGTAAGATTTAGGGTTTGGGGTTGGCCTGGTGGCTAGGGGTTTCGGGTGTAGGGTTCAGGGGTTCTGGCGACTCTGGCGTTTGGGATTTAGGTTAAGGCGCAGGGGTTCAGGGTTTCAGGGTTCCTTTTTGTGTTGGAGGATTGTGGCTTGGGCTTCCAGGTCCAGAGAGTAAAGGTGATGAGCTTTGATCCTAGAGAATTTCTCCGTGTGCCGGTTTCAAGTGTGATCAGCCAAAGCGAGATGCTTCCTTTCAGACTTCGTCTTCGTATTCCCCAGCTCCAGAAGATCGTTAAGCATCTGCAAGGCTCGTCCTTCGAGCCTTAAGTTCACAGCACACCCCCTCAAGCGTAAAGCTAGCGTAAGCTAGGGATCCGAATATATAAACAGGAAGAGAATGGCTTTATAGTCGCTATCTAACCATAGTACAATCAACACCCAATCCCTTTTCTATTCCATGGCCCCAAGATTACCAAATCCCTGCTTTGGGCCAAGGTACCCAGAGCAACTCTGCCGAAGTGGGAAGTGAGCCGCTCTTTTGGGTCCTGGGCATCGTGAACAGTAAGCACTATGTAGACAGAGGTCTTCATCGAAGTTTCAAGGACGGCTGTCGTATGGTTGTGTTGTAGGACTTTGGGGGTTTAGTGAACCGCGACAGGCACGGTGAGTTGCCCGGGAGGCGGGGAGGTTGCAGGCATGTTAGCCGAGCTTACCAGCTGTTACACGGGTTTCGGGTGGACGGCAGGAGCCCCAATCATCGGCAGTGGCTGAGAACCCTCTAACTCCTACATAGCTCGAATATGACACCCTAAACCCTAAACCCCAAACCCTAAACCGTTATGATGCATGCCACAAGACGGACGAGGCTGCCAGCTTCGTTCGGGTGTCGTACTTCTACTACTGTCCCGTCCTCCCTACAGAGTAGTCTTGCCCCTAATGGGCTTGTACCGCAGCATTCTGGCACTCCGAGGGCACCAGAACCCCAAATTCGCCAGCACTCGAACCCCTAAGCCCCAATCCCTAATCCTTACAAAACAAACAAAATGCTTAAACCCCCCCACACTAAACACACAAAGCAAAACCACCCGAAATCTTAACCCCTAGGTCCTGAACCGCCTCCTAACAATCAACGAAGCCACTGCCAGAGGGCCTCAATCCAGACCTCTGCACCTCATCCCTGATGCACATAGTGCTATAATTTGAAAGTGAACAAACTAATGGATATATAGCTAAATGAATAAATAGGTACAACTATACATATAAATATAGTTGTATATATATATATATGCATAAACCCTAAGTCCTCATCCCTGCTGCAGTTCCTCCTTGCAGCTTCCCCAAAAAGCCACGCGAAGCTCGTGAGCCCCCAAACCCGCAAACCCAAAATAGCACGGCACCCTGAAAGCAAAGATCCCAAAAGGGACCCTCATGTAGAGAACTATTCACAAGCATGAGCCATGATAAACCCTACACCGGCTTTTTCCTGAGTTCAAGCAAACCATCTGCTGAGCCCTAAGCTCCAAGGAAAACCTAAGCACTAGCGAACGCTGACCTTGAAATAACCCTAAATGGTCCTAAACATTGCGACGCCGTCAACCTCGGACTTTCGCCGTGTGTCCTCAACACTATATTCACTATTATATTGCTATACGCACACCCTGATCCCCGAACCCTAATCCCCAAACCCGCACACCAGCCTGAATGCAACTTTTATCTAGGGTTGAGGGTTTAGGGTTTAGGATTTAGGGTTATTATAGAAAAATTCTAAGAAACCCAGAGTCCCGAATTTGAGAAAGCTTCAGCCCCACCTCGACCCCTAAACCCCGCCACCTCACTTCTCCGGCCCAGCTTCTGGGTTTGGGGGTTTGGGGGTTTGGGGGTTTGGGGGTTTGGGGGTTTAGGGGTTCAGGGGTTTAGAGGTTTAGGGTTTAGGATTAGGGTTCAGGGTTTAGGGTCTAGGGTTGAGGGTTTCATGGTTTAGGGTTTATAAGGGTTTAGGCTTGTTTCTGAGGCGGCTGCAAGGAAACAGTGCTCGCTGTGGACACGAACCAGGCATGAACTTCGGATTATGTTGCAGGGGTTTCGGGTTTCGACTTGCGTGGTTGACAATTGTGGGGTTAGGCTTTAGGGGTAGAGGATGTTTCGCCACGAAATCAGATCACGTTGCCAGCTCCCGCTGGACGCCCTGCTGCCGCGAAAATCCCCAAAGCGATTGCAAAAGCACGCGGCGTCGAGGCCAAAAGCTTTGGCTTTGGTCCAAAGCGCCACGCCTTGCTCATGAAGCAGGTCGATGACAAAAGTGTGGCAGAGTTGTTTGGTCTTCTCACACAAGAGCCATCGGTGGTGGCAGATGCGTGGCTACCGCCACGTTCATGAAGCAAGAGGCTCGGACAAAAAATCACGTAGCTGTACGGATGCTGCTGGTGGGGCATCGCCATCTGGCTGTGATGCTGTCGACCGCTTCTTTGACCACATCAGATGATAGTTTTAGAGGGACTATAAAGAGCGACTATCACATCACGAATCATGCCAGCTCCTTCAGGTGTAAGGGTATAGGGTTGGAGTTTGGGGTTTAGGTCTTAGGGGTACAGGGGAGTCCCTAAACCCTAAACCC